CCTCCAATAAAAACCCTCCCTAACGAAAATTCAAGGTAATCCTACTTAGTGAGAACGAGTTCTTTACAATTACATTTCTTTTGAGTGGACTACCGGGTCAAAAAGGAAGCTTCTTAGGCTATTTAGAGATGATAGAAAGGGGCCATGGATGGACCATGGGCTTGATCATCAAAGGGATAGTCTAATACCATTGTTCACACCACCTGGAATCTCATGTTGATAGATGACAAGCCGAAGGAGGCCTACTAGAATCCTCGAACGGTAGGGTGAAAGGACCCAAGTGACTGAATAGAAGGTCCTCTAGGATCAGACATTCTGAAATGTCTCGATCATATCTCGGATGTCCTTGCTTGTTGACTGTACATGGCTTAGCAAGATAATTGTACATCTAATGTTGTTTTGCTCAGTGTTTGTGTTGCTTTATTTATTACTAGGTAAATCACAACGAGTTGGAGGATGAGATGGAATCCGAGGCATTCAAAAGCGATGATATCCAATGATGGTTGGCGGAATAGTGGAGTGAAAGGCCTGCAATCAAGTTAAAGATCAAAATTCAAGCATCACCCGCGGAGATTCATCAAGTCAAGGCATCATTGATACAGACAATCAGCTTGGTAATCATTAGTTAGGGGTTATATTACTGCGTGTGTTAAAGCTTCAAGCTCAATATCAGTCACACAGCGACGTTGGCTTTCAGTTATCGGTCATTTGGATTATAGGCCTTAACGACATTATTTATATCTCTTTTATAAGTTTATAAATCTATGGAAAGTTTCAAAACTTTGTTTAAACCATATTGTCAAGATCCAAGCTTTACAAGTCCATACTTATGATGATTTGGCAAAAATAAAAGATTCCACAATTGGGAAATGCAAATCTGAAAAATTCTTTTTTGTAACATTTCAAGAATCACGTATTTGTTCAAATATTTCGCAAAAGTTTCCTCCAAAGTTTGAAATTGATTTGTTACGTTTAATTGATTTACAATCATCGTTTTCGTTCGTGCATGTTTGTCATATTTTACAAAAGACAGATGAGTTTTCACTAAATAGAAGTGATATTTAAGAAATTATTTCTTAAATGTAGTACATGTTTACGGAAAAACTTCAGTCAAAAAATTTTACTTTTGGAGTTGATTTACTGTGCCTCAATGATTTTACAGAAATTGTGTATGTCCAGCCAGATTTTCTAGAAACCTATATATAATTGTGTTGAAAACATGTTATTTCTCTCAATGATAAAAGATCTTTCAGAACTCTATTTATCCTAAGCATGTTCAACCATCATTCCTCACACAACCCGTTCCTCAACATTTCCATAAATTTTTAGAAATTTATTTACTCATAAATTGATTTACAAAGCCAGAATATTAAATGTCCCAGGAATGCTGAATTTAGGGGTATTTTGGTCTGTTCCAGGCCCTATAGACGGCTGTTTTTGATACTGATTTTCGGTTTTGGAGAGTTTGTGGTCTGGTTTAAGAGGCTATAAAACAAAAAGCCCCTCAAACTTTCATGTGTTTTTGCATGTATTTTATAGAGAGTTTTAAAAAGAGTTTACCCAAGTATTGTTGAAGGGTTTCATTAAGGTTTGTTTCCAAGAGTTTGTTGTGAAGAAAATTCCACAAGAGCTGAGGAGATCGATGCTATTGGAAGTTTGAGTTCCCAAAAACTAGTTCTCGCGTCCAACCCCCTCCTTGATCTATGAGAAGTTTCTAAACTCTTATCTATAGCTTGCTACATCCTGCTTAGTTTATTTCGATATGCTTTCTTTAAAGCTAGTTCTTTATATTGAGTTTAGATTTGATTATATTATCTCATTGTACACACACCCTCAATGAGGCCCATTATTGTGATTTTCATACATACCGTAATGTGGTTTGGCTGAAGTTGGTAACAAATTGAGTGTGAGCTTTCATTGTGTTCATGCATCCATTGAGTAAGAAAATACTTCATTATATAAGCCTATTCGTGAGGATACACTTTGCTAATCACTTGTACACCGAGAAGGAGTGTGTGGGGGAGTCAGGAACGTCCCCCAAGAGGAGTGGCGTCCGGTTGACGAACTGCTAGGGAGAGGCTGGTATACCGAGCCACTCTGAGGGAGAAAAAAAAAAAAAAAACACGGCTAGGTCCACACCACTTGTGAGGGTGTAAGAGTGTGATTGCGCATAGTGTTTGTTGTGTTGAGAGTTTTCCGCAAAAAACACAGCTTGTAACACCAAGTGTGTAGAAGTTCCCGGGCTTCACACAACCGCAGCATTCGTGATCAGTGGATTTCTCCCCCCGGGAGTCGGGGAGCAGAGACGTAGGATGGAAGGTCGCAAAACTCCTGCATCATATTGCTTGCTTTAGTTTGGCTTAGCCACACTTATATGCTGTTTCATCTTTATACAGGCCTCTCCTCATTGTTGATTGTTTATCCAACTATATTATTTGTTTATTTACCCTTGGGTTTGGCATATCCTGTGCATAATCATCATACGTATCACTCCTTTGCTAGGATATATCGATTGTATATTCATATTCTTGCACATAACTCTTTGTATAACCTCTAGTCTTGCAAGAATATATTCTGTTAATCAGTTTAATATAGGCATAAAAGTCAGATTAAGACAGAATAGAAACCCCTCAAGCATGGCACGAACCCGATACTAGGGTCCTAAAACAATTGTATCAGCGCTGTGCTTTGATTTAAGGTTACATCTCTTTGAGTTAAAGATCCAATTATCTTTTATTGCATAATCTTGAGTTTGATTTGCATTTGTATGCGTTGCTTGCATAATTTTTTACAAAATTATGATATTGAGAGTGCATCTTGTTTAGGGACTTCACATGAATTCTAGTATTCGGCTACCACTACAATTCAATGTTTTACTCTTATGCTCAATGGTGTTTAGATTCCAAATATTTGTTCAATCTAAAAATATCGATTTATGGGAAGTTATGATGTCCTTATAATCTGTGTACGCCACGTTGAACGAAATCCGCGAAGTGGACAAGCAAATACATGATAAAAGATTTTATTTATGAACAAGCTTATGTTATAGTTAATTTTTGTTAAATGCATTTTGATGTCATTTAGTCAAACAAGTTGATTCTTTTGATAGGCGCTTATACATATACAAATTCCATAAGAACGGCATTCGAAGGAGAGCTGTGGAGGGCGATCCGACAGACGCTTCCTGGCAGATCCCGCTCAAGTTCTAAAAAGGGGCTTCATACCAATGAGGCACTAGGCGATAGCCCTAGTGAACGGTTTGCGAGGTTCGAATCTAATTAATGATTTACCTAATGATGACTTGCTTTGTGCAGTAATAATTTATTACTATGCTACAAAAATTGCAAAATGATTTCATTAATTACAAGCAACATAAAGGATTGTGAAATCCGATCTTCTTTAACCTTCTAAGTTGTTGATTTATTTCTAATGAAAATATGATCCTTAAAAAAATAATGAAATTAAAATCGGATCATATTCTTTGCTTTCAACCTTTGCAAGTTAACTTTGAATAAAGATAATGACATGTTGAAGTACAGACAGCATGACAAAATGCAGTACTTGCTTCTCTTTATAAATAACATTAACTGTTCTACCTCTAAAGTGCATATGTGGCCTAACAAAATGAAGACTTGATCTTGATGAAAAATGCTTGGTCAGTCCCTTTAGACTTCAACTTGAATAATATGTTTGATAATCATTAGAGGCCTTATGGATTTGTATGCCGAAGTCTAAGAAATCATCGAACTCATCATGGCACAGATATATAGCAAGAGTTTACAAAGTTGTCTAACATTCGCGACGCGTAAAGGCCTCGATCTATGCGTAATGTCGTTGCTATGAG